TAACAACGTCAAAAACGTTTGAACAGCTTTGGAAGAAATCTTGATGTTTTGATAGAAATTATATTTAAAAACTGAGAGGGGGCAAGCAAGGGCAAAGAAGCTTTCTGGGGGCCATTCCATTTCTGGGGGCCAGAAAAAAAGGAAGGTCCCTAACAACGTCAAAAACGTTTGAACAGCTTTGGAAGAAATCTTGATGTTTTGATAGAAATTATATTTAAAAACTGAGAGGGGGCAAGCAAGGGCAAAGAAGCTTTCTGGGGGCCATTCCATTTCTGGGGGCCAGAAAAAAAGGAAGGTCCCTAACAACGTCAAAAACGTTTGAACAGTTTTGGAAGAAATCTTGATGTTTTGATAGAAATTATATTTAAAAACTGAGAGGGGGCAAGCAAGAGCAAAGAAGCTTTCTGGGGGCCATTTCATTTCTGGGGGCCAGAAAAAAAGGAAGGTCTCTGACAACGTCAAAAACGATTGAAAAGCTTTGGAAGAAATCTTAATGTTTTAATAAAAAAAATTTTTCAAAAACTGGGAGGGGGCAAGCAAGGGAAAGAAGCTTTCTGGGAGCCAGAAAAAAGAGAGCCTTAACAACGTCAAAAACGATTGAGCAGCTATGGAAGAAATCTTGATGTTTCAATAGAATTTTTTTTTAAAAAACTGGGAGTGGGCAAGCAAGGGCAAACAAACTTTCTGGGGGCTATTCCATTTCTGGGAGCCAGAAAAAAAAGGATGATCCATTAGAAAGTCAAAAAACGATTGAACAGCTATGAAAGGAATCTTGATTTTTTTATAGAAATTTTTTTAAAAAACTGGCAGGGGGCAAGCAAGGCAAACAAACTTTCTGCGGGTCAGACAAAAAAAGAAATATCCCTAACAATGTCCAAAAACGATTGAATAGCTATGGAAGGAATCTAGATGTTTAAAAATAATTTTTTTTAATAACTAGGAGGGGGCAAGCAAGGGCAAAGAAGCTTTCTGGGGGCCATTCCATTTCTGGGGGCCAGAAAAAAAGGAAGGTCCCTAACAACGTCAAAAACGTTTGAACAGCTTTGGAAGAAATCTTGGTGTTTTTATAGAAATTGTTTTTAAAAACTAGGAGGGGGCAAGCAAGGGCAAAGAAGCTTTCTGGGGGCCATTCCATTTCTGGGGGCCAGAAAAAAAGAAACAGCGCTAACAAAGTAAAAAAACAATTGAATAGCTATGGAAGAAATTTTGATGTTTTAAAAGAAATTTTTTCTAAAAAAATAGGAGGGGTCGAGGAAGGGCAAAAAAACTTTCTGGGGGCGATTCCTTTCTGGGGGCCAGAAAAAAAGGAAGATCCCTAGGAAAGTCAAAAAACGATTGAACAACTATGAAAGAAATCTTGAAGTTTTAATAGAAATTTTTTTAAAAAACTGGGAGGGGCAAGCAGGGGCAAGCAAACTTTCTGGAAGAAATTCGAATTCTGGGAGCCAGAAATAAAAGAAAGATCCAAAAGAAAGTCAAAAAACGATTGAACAGCTATAGAATAAATCTTGGCGTTTTAATAGAATTTTTTTTAAAAAACTGGGAGGGGGCAAGCAAGAGCAAAGAAGCTTTTATGGGGGCCATTCCATTTCTGGGGGCCAGAAAAAAAGTAAGATCCCTAACAACGTCATAAACGTTTGAACAGCTTTGGAAGAAATCTTGATGTTTTGATAGAAATTATTTTTAAAAACTGAGAGGGGGCAAGCAAGAGCAAAGAAGCTTTCTTGAGGCCATTTCATTTCTAGGGGCCAGAAAAGAAGGAAGGTCTCTGACAACGTCAAAAACGATTGAACAGCTATGGAAGAAATCTTGATGTTTTAATAGAAATTTTTTTTAAAAAACTAGGAGGGGGCAAGCAAGGGCAAACAAACTTTCTGGGGGCCATTGCATTTCTGCGAGCCAGAAATAAAGAGGCTTAACCAATTCAAAAAACGATTGAACAGCTATGAAAGAAATCTTGATATTTTGATACAAATTTTTTTAAAAACTGGGAGGGGGCAAGCAAGGCAAACAAACTTTCTGGGGGCCAGACAAAAAAGAAATATCCCTAACAAAGTCCGAAAACGATTAATTTGCTATGGAAGGAATCTTTATGTTTAAATCGAATTTTTTTTAAAAACTAGGAGGGGGCAAGTAAGGGCAAACAAACTTTCCGGGGGCCATTCCATTTCTGGGGGCCAGAAAAAAATAAAGATCCCTAACAAAGTCGAAAAAACGATTGAACAGCTTTGGAAGAAATCTTGATGTTTTAATAAAAAATTTTATTTTAAAACTGGGAGGGGTCAAGCAAGGGCAAAGAAGCTTTCTGGGGGCTATTCCATTTCTGGGGGCCAGAAAAATAGAAACAGCGCTAACAAAGTAAAAAAACAATTGAACAGCTATGGAAGAAATTTTGATGTTTTAAAAGAATTTTTTTTTTAAAAAAATAGGAGGGATCGAGGAAGGGCAAAAAAACTTTCTGGGGGCGATTCCTTTCTGGGGGCCAGAAAAAGAGGAAGATCCCTAGCAAAGTCAAAAAACGATTGAACAACTATGAAAGAAATCTTGAAGTTTTAATAGAAATTTTTTCAAAAAACTGGGAGGGGCAAGCAGGGGCAAACAAACTTTCTGGAAGACATTCGAATTCTGGGAGCCAGAAATAAAAGAAAGATCCAAAAGAAAGTCAAAAAACGATTGAACAGCAATGGAATAAATCTTGATGTTTTAATAGAATTTTTTTTAAAAAACTGGGAGGGGGCAAGCAAGGGTAAAATAATATTTAGTAGGCCATTCCATTTCAGGGAGCCAGGAAAAAAAGAAAGATCCCTAATAAAGTCAAAAAACGATTGAACAGCAATGGAAGAAATTTGATATTTTAATAGACAATCCTTTTAAGAAACTGGGAAGGGGCAAGCAAGGGCAAAGAAACTTTCTGAAGGCCTTGTTTTTTCAGGGATCCTGAAAAAAGAAAGATCCCTAAAAAGTCAAAAAACGATTCAACAGCTATAGAAGAAATAGTAATGTTTTAATAGAATTTTTTTTAAAAAACTGGGAGGGGGAAAGCTAGGGCAAAGAAGTTTTCTGGGGGCCATTCCATTTCTGGGAGCCAGAAAAAAGAAAGATCCATTAGAAAGTCAAAAAACGATTGAACAGCTATGAAAGGAATCTTGATTTCTTTATAGAAATTTTTTTTTAAAAAACTGGGAGGGGGCAAGCAAGGCAAAAAAACTTTATGCGGGTCAGACAAAAAAAGAAATATCCCTAACAAAGTCCAAAAACGATTGAATAGCTATGGAATGAATCTTGATGTTTAAATAGAATTTTTTTTAAAAAAACTAGCAGGGGACAAGCAAGGGCAAAGAAGCTTTCTGGGGGCCATTCCATTTCTGGGGGCCAGAAAAAAAGGAAGGTCCCTAACAACGTCAAAAACGTTTGAACAGCTTTGGAAGAAATCTTGATGTTTTGATAGAAATTATATTTAAAAACTGAGAGGGGGCAAGCAAGGGCAAAGAAGCTTTCTGGGGGCCATTCCATTTCTGGGGGCCAGAAAAAAAGGAAGGTCCCTAACAACGTCAAAAACGTTTGAACAGCTTTGGAAGAAATCTTGATGTTTTGATAGAAATTATATTTAAAAACTGAGAGGGGGCAAGCAAGGGCAAAGAAGCTTTCTGGGGGCCATTCCATTTCTGGGGGCCAGAAAAAAAGGAAGGTCCCTAACAACGTCAAAAACGTTTGAACAGTTTTGGAAGAAATCTTGATGTTTTGATAGAAATTATATTTAAAAACTGAGAGGGGGCAAGCAAGAGCAAAGAAGCTTTCTGGGGGCCATTTCATTTCTGGGGGCCAGAAAAAAAGGAAGGTCTCTGACAACGTCAAAAACGATTGAAAAGCTTTGGAAGAAATCTTAATGTTTTAATAAAAAAAATTTTTCAAAAACTGGGAGGGGGCAAGCAAGGGAAAGAAGCTTTCTGGGAGCCAGAAAAAAGAGAGCCTTAACAACGTCAAAAACGATTGAGCAGCTATGGAAGAAATCTTGATGTTTCAATAGAATTTTTTTTTAAAAAACTGGGAGTGGGCAAGCAAGGGCAAACAAACTTTCTGGGGGCTATTCCATTTCTGGGAGCCAGAAAAAAAAGGATGATCCATTAGAAAGTCAAAAAACGATTGAACAGCTATGAAAGGAATCTTGATTTTTTTATAGAAATTTTTTTAAAAAACTGGCAGGGGGCAAGCAAGGCAAACAAACTTTCTGCGGGTCAGACAAAAAAAGAAATATCCCTAACAATGTCCAAAAACGATTGAATAGCTATGGAAGGAATCTAGATGTTTAAAAATAATTTTTTTTAATAACTAGGAGGGGGCAAGCAAGGGCAAAGAAGCTTTCTGGGGGCCATTCCATTTCTGGGGGCCAGAAAAAAAGGAAGGTCCCTAACAACGTCAAAAACGTTTGAACAGCTTTGGAAGAAATCTTGGTGTTTTTATAGAAATTGTTTTTAAAAACTAGGAGGGGGCAAGCAAGGGCAAAGAAGCTTTCTGGGGGCCATTCCATTTCTGGGGGCCAGAAAAAAAGAAACAGCGCTAACAAAGTAAAAAAACAATTGAATAGCTATGGAAGAAATTTTGATGTTTTAAAAGAAATTTTTTCTAAAAAAATAGGAGGGGTCGAGGAAGGGCAAAAAAACTTTCTGGGGGCGATTCCTTTCTGGGGGCCAGAAAAAAAGGAAGATCCCTAGGAAAGTCAAAAAACGATTGAACAACTATGAAAGAAATCTTGAAGTTTTAATAGAAATTTTTTTAAAAAACTGGGAGGGGCAAGCAGGGGCAAGCAAACTTTCTGGAAGAAATTCGAATTCTGGGAGCCAGAAATAAAAGAAAGATCCAAAAGAAAGTCAAAAAACGATTGAAC